TGCTGCTCTCGGCGCCGCTTTCATCATCTTTGGTAACCTCCGCCAATCCGTACACCTGATTACGAATTCCTACTTACATGTAATACAGAAAACGGTCTCCTGACTCAAGCGCGCTTGATCCTCCTCGATTCTCCCCTCGTTGCTGCGACTGCCTTCACTGCCCTTGCCTTCACCTCATTCACCAACCAACATGAGCAGGGCCCCTCCAAGGCATTCGATGCGAGCTGGTGGTTCTGGCTCGTCATGACTGGAGTTGGAATGGGCATCACTGTCAGCATCAAATGGGTCGGCCTTTTCACAATTGCCTGGGTTGGATCTTTGACCCTCGTACAGCTATGGGTACTTCTTGGTGACACCAAAACTGTTACCATGCGCATCTTTACGAAGCATTTCTTGGCCCGCGCTTTCTGTCTGATCATCATCCCCGCTACTCTGTACATGGGCATGTTCGCCATCCATTTTCTCTGCCTAGTGAACCCAGGTGAGGGAGATGGCTTCATGAGTTCCGAATTCCAAGCTACATTGAACAACAAGGGCATGCAAGATGTTCCAGTCGATGTTGCGTTTGGCAGTCGCGTCACTATCCGACACGTCAATACCCAAGGAGGATATCTTCACTCGCACCCCTTGATGTACCCAACAGGCAGTCAGCAGCAGCAGATCACCCTCTACCCCCACAAGGATGATAACAACATATTCTTGCTGGAGAACCAAACTCAGCCATTGGATGTCAACGGTGAGGCTATCAACGGAACCCACGCCTGGGACAACGCGAAGAACATGACCGAGAACTACATCAGAGACGGTGATGTACTCCGACTTTACCACCTGTCTACTCACCGCCGCCTTCACTCGCATGACGTCCGACCTCCCGTCAGTGAGGCTGACTGGCAAAATGAAGTATCCGCTTATGGTTACGAGGGATTCGCTGGTGATGCTAACGATCTGTTCCGTGTTGAAATTGTCAAGAAACAATCCCTTGGACCCATTGCCAAAGAGCGCCTTCGTACCATTCAGACCAAGTTCCGACTTGTTCATATCATGACGGGCTGTGTTCTCTTCTCTCACAAGGTCAAGTTGCCAGACTGGGCATCTGAGCAGCAAGAGGTGACTTGCGCCAAGGGCGGCACTATCCCCAACAGCTTGTGGTACATTGAATCCAACGCGCATCCCCAGCTTGGCAATGACGCCGAGCGAGTCAACTATGTCAACCCTGGTTTCTTCGGCAAATTCTGGGAATTGCAGAAGGTCATGTGGAGAACAAACGCTGGCCTCGTCGAATCTCACGCCTGGGATTCCCGCCCCGAATCTTGGCCCATCCTACGCCGTGGTATCAACTTCTGGGGTAAGGAGCACCGTCAAATCTACCTGATGGGTAACCCTATCATCTGGTACTCTTCAACCCTCGCAGTTGTCATCTACGTGATCTTCAAGGGCATTGCGGTTCTTCGATGGCAGCGCAGCTGCAATGACTACGCAAACGCCACCTTCAAGCGGTTCGATTACGAGATCGGAACTTCCGTTCTCGGATGGGCTCTGCACTACTTCCCTTTCTTCCTTATGCAGCGCCAGCTCTTCTTGCACCACTACTTCCCTGCGTTGATCTTCGCCATCATGGCTTTCTGCCAAATTTACGACTTCGCGACCGCTCGAGTCGCGGGTATTAGAGAGAACCCGATTGTTAACAAGGCGGGTGTAGTTGCGCTTCTAGCCGTTTCTGCAACCGTCTTTGCCCTCTACTCCCCGCTTGCGTACGGAAACGCCTGGACGAAGACCGAGTGTAACCGTGTTAAACTCTTCAACACGTGGGATTGGGACTGCAATACCTTCCTAGAGAGTGTGAGTGTTCCCCCCCAAGGCATGCCGTCTAGAGGACGAGGTTGATGCTAGATGACACTTGAAAGTTCCTAGCCTTTAGATTATCAGAGGTGGATATGAAGTGCATGTAAAGGAGATTGCAAATTGTCAAATAGGCAGTAGACTAATGCAGTTTGATTTTTTAGTACGACGCGTATTCGAGGGTTGCTACAGCTCCAAGCCAGGCCTCTCAGACTTCTGAAGCCGCCGTAGTTAACAAGCCACCACCAGCTCAACAACCTGCTGGAAACGGACAGGACTCCCCAAACGCGGGCATCTCGGGAGCACCCAAGTTCGAACCCCAGGGTCAAAAGGTGCTGGGACGAGAGGAGCGGGTCGAGTACCGGGATCAGGACGGCAACATCCTCGACGAAGAACAGGTAAAGGCGCTCGAGGGCAAGGTCGAATTTCAAACCAGATACGAAACGAGAACGCGCGTAGTCGACGCCAACGGCAACGAAGTCGAAGTGCCCATAGAAGAGCTGGCCGCCGCCGGCGTGGCACCCCCGCATCCTGATGTCGAGGGAGCCAACCAGGAGACAAGAAAGATAGTCAAGGACGACCCAATCCCCCAGGAGGCGTCATCGAGTAAGGATGGCGAGAAGGAGGCCGAAAGATCGGTTCCTAAGCCGGCTAGCGAAGGCAACGAGGCGACAGTTTAATCTTCTTGTACGCAACCCACTAACCTCTAATCCGTCTAATCCGGTATTGCGTCTCATCGCGTTTCCTCCTACATACCACGAAAATCTCCAGTGATTTTGGCCTCTTGGGACTTGGTAAGAATCTGGCGAGTCTAAGATGGCCTGTTTATGTCGAACTCATGTATACCACCACACTTTAAGTAATGAAGATCATGGAGGGGCAAAAAAAGCATAGGGAATGCGGAACGCATACACAAAAGAATTTACCTATAAGAGAGGATATTGGCGTGACAGTCTCATGGAGACTCAAGAACTATGCCAGTTACAATTGCTGATCGCAGCCTATTTCCTTTAATATGAAGATTCCACTACCTACCTATCTTATGCCTTACTCTGTGTTTTGAGCTAGTTGATTTCCTGGCAAATCTCCGGAATATTGCGAAAATATTCGTCATGATCGTCTCCAAAAGAGGGTTGCCGTGCGTCTCCAAGTGCGACGGCGTGCTTTTTACGGCCCGAATATCCGTCATGTCACGATGCGGGTGTACGACTTAGAGTTCTAATCGCGACGACCGTTTCATAACATTTGAATATATATATATTCAGCATGTTCAGCTGTCATGTAACTGATTTTTAAGTATTCCGAGAAAAAGCATAAATCAACACGAAAACGAAGTCAGTAGAACATAAGTTCCTCTTCTAATGTCTCCAGAAGCCACCGAAGTTTCCATATCCTGTCATTGTGCTGCTGCGAGGCAGCCGGTGGTCCTTCGATTTCCAGACTCTAACGCGAACTCGAGATCACTGGGTATCGATCTTTGCCACTGTTCTACATGTCGCCATAATAGCGGTATGCTATACACCTCCTATGCGCCCATACAAGCCCCACCATCTCTCACCAATCTAGTTGAATACACCGAAGGAGGGCCAGCCGAGCCTCGACGCTTTTTCTGTGATACTTGTGGAAGTCACGTATTTCGTCACGAGCGGAGTTCCTCTGGTGAGAAAGGGGACAATGGCTCGTGGGCTGTTGCTACGGGTGTTATAACTGGACCGGCTGGGCCCAGAGCAGACAATGAGGAAGAGGAGCCGCCGCTTCTTAGAATCGCCAGACATGTGAATACCGCCAGTACTAGGGACGGCGGGTTGTCGCCATTTATACCCATAGATAGCGCTGAAGGTCGAAGTGCGTATGAGCACTCCTCGCCAGGGGAAGAAGGAACCGAGAATTTTAAAAACGACGATGCACTCCAAGCACACTGCCACTGCAAGGGAATCCGCTTCTACATCACCCGTCCCGACTCCTCGAGCACTCTCCCGCACTCCGGCTTCCCGGATCTCACAGTGCCGTACGCCACCGCGTCACAGGATGCAATCAGCAACCCGCGCGACGAAAAATGGTGGCTATGTCCACACGGCGATCCGAACCCGACCAAGTACCTAGCCGGCACCTGCGCCTGTCGGTCCTGCCGGCTGACGTCCGGGTTCGAGATCCAATCGTGGGCGTTTGTGCCGCGGAGCAACATCTTCTTCCTCCCTTCTTCTTCTTCCCCTTCCAGCACCTCTCCCGGTGATGATGCGATACCGCTGGATTTCAACACATTGGAGCATAACGGGGTCAACCTGAAGAGCTATGCAAGTTCTCCTGGCGTGCTTCGCGACTTTTGCCCTCGCTGTGGCGCTACTGTCTTTTGGCATGACCGTTGGCGGCCCGATCTGATCGATGTGAGTGCTGGGTTGCTGAATGCCCCGGAGGGCGCGAGGGCTGAGGGCTGGTTGGAGTGGTGGTGTGAGAGGGTTAGCTTTATGGAGGATGCTGCGAATGGACGGGTTGGCGCGGCTGCGGGTTGGGAGATGAAGTTGGTGAGTGATCTGGCGGAGGGGTTGAGGCGTGAAAAGAATAAGGGGTTAAAAGTCGTGACGCAGGATTCGTCATTCTAGAGGTTGATTGATTATAGGGGTTTAAGAAACTGATAAAGCGTTCATATCAATATATGAAGGAATACTGTAACTTGAATATGGTTGGTAACAATTACATTTTCGCGCTACGCACCCTTCCACACCTAAGTACCTATCTAACAACACTCCTATGTATTGCCCGAAGTTTTTATCACAATCGGTTTTCACGAAACCAGAATCTCATGAACACTTCTGAATAGGTTTCCCATCTCGAACTGTCATTATTCGAGATCCCCACAATTACATTACGGCTGCCATCTATTCTTCATCATCAATAACCTCATTCATGGATTATTCGTTTTGACCGATACCGGAAGAAGCATTGTTCAGCACTGGCGATCCAAGAACTCGGATGTTTGCTAATGGGTCTCGTTGGTGAAGTTCCAGTTTCTCCACACAAAAAGGTTTGGCTTTCACCGCTTGACTTACACTAACCACGAAGCCTCCGAAAACGCCTTGGAAAAGGGTCCAGCGGAGTAATTGGAAAAAAGAATCAATCTCTTCCTTTCACCATTCGCAGAACTAGCAAAAATAATTATGCTGGGGCTCAACCGGGATTTGAACCCGGGACCACTCACAGTCTCATTCTCATGAGATGGGAATCTTCAACCCGAAGCGAGTATCCTACCACTAGACCATTGAGCCTTGGCTAGCCGAAGAACCTGATTGGTGCTTCGGCGGATGGTTTGTTTGATGCAGTAAGAGCTTATGTGGTATCTAAGAAGGATCAGGCTTTCTACATTCCCTGCATGAGGTTGTTCATCATTGAGCCGCAAGCAAGGCTAGTCGAGGCCTAAAGATCTACCTATACATTTACCATGGAGCAGAGAGAAGGAAGTCAGATTAGTCTGAGTTGACTCCAGTCACATCAATATGGATACCATCAAATCACCACTTAGTTTGACGCTCTCTCCCATTCTTAACCACACTCGGAGTCCCCTGACAAGACACGATGCACATCGCATGCATCTTCAGGAGCGGAAGAAGGCCTTGAAAATAGATTCCAGCTCAGCTCGTGCATAAATGAATCGACCCATACTATCACGATCCACGGACGAGTATCCTTTTACCACTATATCCAATAGCTCGCAAGTTTTCCAACATTCTCCTATCGCCCACAATTAGAGCAAGAGTGTCAAGAACTCAGATGCATCTCAGAGAGAACACACACCTGCCTGAATCTTGATAGCTTGCATAGATGCTTGAAGTGGGATGCGAGGCGAGCTAGCGCCCATAGTGAACTGCTGCAACCCACATCTCCGTTGAAGGTCGAAAGTGCCATCTAACTATCCTTGATATCCATGGTAAGGACATTATACCAGCTAGCTAGATGTCAGCCTTCCATATCTAATAGTATAGTGTTCCTCCACACAACCTCGACACTGAGCAGTCAACTAGGTCCCATAGCTCAGTTGGTTAGAGCGTCGTACTAATATCTCATCCGAAATATTAAGTAAATGCGAAGGCCGAGAGTTCAAGCCTCTCTGGGACCATTGATTTACTTTTGGATATCTTAAAATATCCAAATGTTTTTTTTTGTCTCGGGCCGCAGGTGGATGGATGGATGACCTCTATGTAGGTAGGTATGCATGCCCTCCCTCCTTCGGCACACAAAAAGGGGGGCCCCTAGGGCCGGGAAGAAATGATCGTTAACTCGTTGGTCATCCTTCCGGACAGAGTAAGCATCGTAGACTTACTGACTGACTGACTGACTAATTGACTAACCTAAAAAAAGAATGGGATGGTCCCAGAGAGGCTTGAACTCTCGGCCTTCGCATTGACTCCATATTTCGAATCTCGAGATATTAGTACGACGCTCTAACCAACTGAGCTATGGGACCAGTTCGGATGTTCTTGAATGAATTTCCGGGCTATTGACCTAAACCAACAGTGCATAGGTAGGTGGGCAGTGGTGGGATTGAAGAGAAAACTTTTTGCTCCGTAACGGGGCCGGACATCGTGAGGTGGGTCAACGCCATTATGGCACCGTGCAGCTCAGGAGACGGCGTGGATATCGGATGTGGACTTAACGTGTAGTTTCCTCGTCTTAAAAAAAGAGACGAGCTAGCTTGAGGTGAGTCAGGAACCCGAGGCTTTCAGTAGCGTTGTTTGCTAGGTACCTAGTCGAGCTATGCCGGATGGATGCTTCAATTCGTCCTAGTGGCAAGCGTTGATGGTGTCGGAATCAACATCTCATCCGTCAACTCAGATAGAAGATGGAGGTTGCGAACCTCGATTCCCCTAAGCTGTGATTCATCTTGGCTTCATTGAGCCGTAAAACTGACACCGGTAGATTTCGTTCAATTTATCGGGAAGGGAGCAAAACGGATGGAATCTCTTCAGATAACTCATCGTACGTGGCAGAAAGCAGAGGGCATGTATCATAGGTAGGGAAACTCTGCGGTGATAAGTATCGTAATTTAAACCAACTAGGTGAAGTTTATCAGAATGTGGGAGTACCTGAGACTGTCGAATACTGACAGAGGTCTTAGTAGCTCTATATCCCCTTCCAACCATTCCCTTCCCCTGAAACCATCTAATCAACTTTTTATATATAACCTCATCAAATGAGCTGCTGTGGGTGAAGGTACAATAGCTGTGAGCATTCTAAGAAGTAAGAGAAAGAAGAGAATTAACTTTCATCTGCTCCAGGGGGATTGACGTGCGCCTTCGTGGCAGTGTGATGTCACCACATATCACATATCAACTATTCGCTGAGGTCTTGTTATTTCGTTCTTAGACATAGCTCGGAATAAGACAGATAGATGATTTATCGGCATTGAAGCGTATGACATCAATGTCTTCATGCCAATAGAGAAGCTGGAAGCAATCCGGGGAATGGCTACGGCTTGATGTCGCCATGCCCCGTATCCGCCGCCGTTCGCGTAGACGTATTTACACCGGTGCCGTCTTCCTTCGTCTCCTCGCGTAGATAATACCGGAAGGTTTCGGAAGCATAGTTCAAGCCGGAACGAGTCGGGGATTTGGCTGAAAATCCGGCAACGCCCGAGTTGCCACCGGGTCATCTCGGCATCGTCAGCACAGTCGCGGCCGTGTTATCTCCTCTCACCAATCTTACTTATTTTCTCACCGTATAAATTCCGTGAATATCACGAGACAGTGAGGCAGGCAGCACATGTCCGTCACTCTACGTAAGATGTTACGAGCGCGCATCCCGATAGTTCCCCCCTGACATGACTGCACCCGTGCAAGATCCGAACCTTCACACCGCAAACTGCAGTCTTTCGGCACCATGTACCCGAGCTCTTGTCATAAAATCGCTATCTCACAAAAATGTACACATTCACATGTCCATGCAAGACGTAGAATCCCGATAGGAGAAGAGTCGTCACCGCCAATGATCGCCTCTGCGTCATATGGCATACCTACCCCATCCCCAAATTTTAACCCCCCCGGCCCAAATTCTGGGAAGGTACCTGCTTCAGTCAATCCCCCTCTCACTCCTCAAGTCGTACATAGGTAGTAAAGCAGCCAGACCTCGGACACCGCCAGAAGAACCAAAGACATTCCATCACCGCTACCTCGGTATTGAACGCAAATCGAACACGAAGCCAAAGCCAAAGCCATCAGTAACCGCAAACTCCCAACCGATGATTGATATTGCACCACATCCGTCCTCACAATCACAATCACATGGATCTATTTCTTTCGCAACTTGGGTTAGAGCGTGGGTGCCTAACCAAGGTAGGTAGTTCGAGACGGTAGCATCGAAGCACGACCGGCTCGACCTCCCCGATTCCCATTTCCCGTCCCAGGGGAAGAGGGAGAAAGACAGACAGACAGACAGACAGGCGAGAGACCCAGTGTTGCGGATCGAATTAGCCAAGATGGAACAAGCTTTTCGCGTGCAACCGTCCGGGGGGTTACGCGGCATGCAAGTTGAGCGTTTATCCCGTGCGAAGATGGTTTCTTCGTTATGGGTCTTATTTACCGGTATATATGCCTATCTATCTATGTCCATTCATCTATTTGCGCTGCAGGCCAGACGGCCAGAGACCTGCATGTGTCATGTAAGGCAATGTCATGCTATGTAATGTACCATGTATACGTAGGTACAGTACTATATCTCGTACTATACCTGTTGTATTATACCTGTAGTTGGCCATATGGCGGTGGTAGGGTAGCATGGCATGAAGCACATCCGCCGGAAACGGGGGGACGCCTCTACGCACAGAAGCAAAAGAGAAGCGTTCCAGAAACTAATAAAGCCCCGATGCGTCCAGCTCGAAGCAGAAATAGGGCGATATTATATCATGTTCCACACCGACCACCACAGGCACGACACCTCAACGAACACGACATGACACATCCCATCCGTTGTGCCGCATGACACCCACCTCCTTTCACCAACCCTTGGGAAAAGAAGCACGAAATAAATTCAACGATATTATATTGACAATATAATAGCTCAGCCCAATCACGGATTATTATAACTCAGTTGGTAAGGGAGGGTACGTAGGTAGGTAGTAAGATTCGGGTGAGGGCTGTCAGAGATCTAGACGAACCGTAGGTATCACAGAAATAATAGCCCCTGTACTATGTGACACGGTTCTAAGAAGCAAAGGAGTAAAGTCTCGACGAAGTATCTAAGACCTCTCGAGGACTTCAAGGGGATATACCAACTTATAGGGCAGGGGAAACCGAGTCACATAGTTCACTAGCGGATAACCTACTCGCTTCTGGGGACGTTCGCCACGACTATCGCAAGGTTGAATATCCCGCACGCCTGGTACGAAATCACGCGGCGAGCTTCAAAAGCCCAACAGTCAATAAGTCTGTAGCAGGCAGTATACACATACCCCTATCTGAAACATCAACCCGCCCAATAAGCCACCAACGACCACCACTGTCGTCAGATCTCGCTTTACGCCATGAATCTTGGCATCGACCCGTGTCCACGGGTACCTAGCCGATATCTACCTTGGGCACAGACGCTACCATATATCCATTCGGTAGCCAAGCCACAATAGAAGAAAAAGAAGACAAAAGAAAACTTCTAGTGCCGTTCGTTCGCTCACTACTTACTTGCTTGCAGAAGAAAAAAAAACGATTGCGGCTCCCTTGGCAATCTCGCTGCCAAGATGAGCGGCATCTTGCAAGCGGCCGTTCTTGCAGGCTGGGCATTCGAGATTCTGGGGATCCGGGCTAGGGGGGGATGGAGAGATGGAGGGAGGGGAGGGGAGTAGAGACCGATCCTGGATCAAAAGGGCAATTCCTATTTCTCCCATTATTTCAATGTCTGTCTATCGTCACGTCGATCTTGTATGCATGGGATAAAATGGACATAAACCACGGGCGTGGACAATCCTATCCTGTAGTAGTTCCAAACTGATCCGAACAGTACCATATTGTAACTGTACAATTGCTCTCTCTCTCTCTCTCTCTCTCTCAGGCGTAAAGAGTAGCTTATTGCTAGCAGTATAGCGCAACGTTGATCAACATAGGTAGGTGTATGTAAGGACCCCTACATGGGGCCATACGAAAAAAACGTGTGCGTGTGACAGTTGAGCAGACAGGCTATAAGATGTGCGACCAAAAAAATTGTGACCAATCCCCAATGCCCTTACACGGATGCCCCGTCCGTCAGCTGGCCTGCGATGCGATGCATTCCTGCGCCGCTAAACTAGCCAGCACTAGGTAGGTAGTGTACCGTAGTAACAGAACCGTTCCTCCTATTAATTGCCTCCTAGAGCAAAAGAGAGAAGGAGAGAAGAAGGGAAAAAAAAAAAGGATAAAATTGTCATTTCCGGAAAGCCGGGCTAGAATATCGGCAAAGGAAGCCCTCCCCCCCCCCCCCCCCCTCTCAAAATGTTCGGTCTCCTCCTCCCCCCCACGTAAGTGGAAAACGGGTGCAATCAATTGGAAATTCCCATCCCCATGTCAGGGTCGCACGTATGGTAAGTAGGTAAGTACGTATGATCACCCGCCAAAGGAAAGCCGCGGCCTTTTGAAAATCGACGAAGGTCTGGATTTTCGATTCTCATTCACCGTTGTTACGCGGACGGGGGGAGGGATGAGATGGATGAGATGAGATGTACGTTGACCACCCGGCATACATACATACATACATACATACATACATACATACATGTATACCTACTACGCATACCCATATATGCAATGTAGGTAAGCCCGTAAAATAGCGGTTCTGATCGGCGATTTTGGCTTTGTCTTTTGGTTTCAACGAGACCGGGCATATAATAGATGAATTGCAACTGCGGTCAGCATCATCAGCATGGCAAAGTAGTACAGCGAAATAAGAAAAAAATTTTGAAAAACAGAAAAGAAGCCCCTTTCACCGACCGCTGGCGGAAAGGAAAAAAAAAAAACTTGCGGGTATAGTACGGCGGGCACGAATCAACACGAAGCTGGCTGGTGGTCATCATCACCCATCGAAGGAAGAGCAACAACGACGATGCGGCAAAAGCGGCAATGAAGCGCATGCGAGGGGATGAACCATGCCTCTGGTAGCTAAGGTAATAGGCAGTTAATCAACCACAGACAGCTAGCCGTACATAGATAGATAGTATCAACTAGATGTCTAGCGTTGAAGCAATCGTGCCTTAGTGGTATGTAGCGAAAGTTGCCAGCAGGTCGGGATCTGCTTGCTTGCTTGCTTGGTCGCGTTAGGTAGGTATTTCATCGGCACCGAATGAACGGGGGACTTGTAACCGAATAGAATGTGGTTGGTTAGAGGGCGGGTACATACTAAGTAAAGCTATTTCTGTCGCTATAGTTATTATTAATATGATTTCTCCGCAATAGGTAACCGACCAGACGGCGGTATTACTGTATTGGATCAGCTGTCAACTCGTCGCGG